TTTACCTAGTTAAGACAGTAATAAGATTGGTAAAGAGGGAAGGTTGGGCATGGGCTAGCAACCACATCCCATAAAAATGATCACCACTGCTACCGAAACTTTAACTCTCTAGCTTGAAGCCCTTTGTTCCACTGGGTATGTAAAGGAATAAAATGATAAAAAATAAATTGTTATTATTAACACTGTATGCATATATTGATTTTTTGTTTGGAATGAACTCTGTGCAAGTATGTTAAAACTGATTCTGTAGATATACTTAATAATGTCTTTAGGCTATGAGCAATTGATGAGAAGCCATTCTATTCTGCAAAAATCACTGTTGTTCTTGCTTTATTCAAATTATGTGAGCACCTACACATGTCTGTAAATTGAGTTCGCAAAGACATTTGCAGCATTACTGTGTAATACATGAAACAAAGTTACTATATTAAGGAGGGATATTAGATATGATGGAGAAGATTTGTAGCTCAGGTGGATGATTTTTATGTAGTTGTGTTCTCTGAGCTGGCTGGATGGTTTATTTGCCAAGCTTTCATTACCCTACTGGGCAACATCTTCAGTGAATACTTCAATTTGAATTGAAGTGAGATTTTAGATTTCTCCACAAGGTTATTAGTCATTTCTCCTGGTGACCTTCACCGCCATGATTGGTTGCTTTTGTGTGTTTTCACACCCTCCAGGACTTGTATTGGAACTGATTGTTTCCTTGACTTGAACTTTGACCCTTTGTGTGTGAGATTTCCTTCTTATCGATTGGTAAATTTTGTCTATGTCAATGTGTCTATTGATTGACGATTCACTGGAATACCAGGCCGGCTTCTAAAAATTCTCTAGCATTCTTGGTGTTTCCTCTGTCTAATATTTGAAAGCTGGTTGTCTCAGCCGAATTGATGTCCGTGGTTGTCTGTATGTAGTGATATGAGGGAGTGGATGTCATGTCTTTTGACGGCTAGTTTGTGACCATGGATACGAAGACGAAGAGGACGTCCACTTTGGCCAATGTAGTGTTTTTCGCAGTCGTTACAATTTATTTTGTAGATGATGTTGGTTTTATCTTCATTCGCTGTTGAGTCTTTTGGTTGACATAAAACTGAGTGAAGTGATTTTGTTGGTTTGTGTGCGACGTCAATTCCTAAAGGTTTGAAAAGTCTTGCATCGATTTCTGAGATTTCCTTTATATATGTTAGGGCAATTTTCTTGGTGCATTCTTCGGAGGCTTTTGGTTTGATAGGTTGGCTTGGGGGTATATGTCTTTTGATGAAATTCCGTGGATATCCATTCTTTTGGAAGACGTCCATGAGATTTCTTTCTTCAATTTCCGTTAAGGTGGGAGTGCTGCAATGAGTCTTAGCTGGCCCTCTTGAATAGTGTTTGTATACAATTCCTTTTGTGTGTTATCGGATTGTTGCTGTTATATTGAGTAATCGGTCTGTGTGAGTTGATTTTCTATAAACTTGAGTTTCTAATTCCCCTGTGGTTGTTCACTTGACTAAGACGTTCAAAAAGGGATTTTGTTCTCGGATTCCTCTTCTCGTGTGAATTTGATGTCATTGAAGATGTTGTTTATTAAGTGGTGAGTTTTATCCAACTCTCTTCTTTTGATTATTACAAATGTGTCATCTACGTAACGTATCCAAATTTTGGGTTTCATTTTTGGTAGGAGAGATAGTTATCGTGTCTTTCCCATGGGCAAATCTTAATTTCCCTGCAGAATTTCTAAACAGTCTATCAAATGAAACATTCCGACTACTTAATTCAAACTTAGTGAGATTTCCACAGGCATAAGTTATGTGCACGTATACGTATCATTTAAGGGCTAAAATTTTTATGAAACCATGACTTCAAATCTGCACTAAAGTTAAAATAACGTTTACACTGGGTTGCTTTTACTTTTAACTACACCATCGACTTGTTCGCGGAACTGACGAGGATATCAAAGGAAGGATCGAATAAGCAAGACAACCTTTCATTATTCTCAAGTCTGTGTGGAGGTCAACAGTACTCAGAATGAAAAATAAGATGTGGATTTTCAATTACAATGTAAAGTCAGTGCTACTCAATACGGATCAGAGACTTGGAGAGTCATGAAGAGCACCTCAAACAAACTACAGACCTTCATCAACAGCTGTCTTCGCTCAATACTACTCAAGATCAGATGGCCGGTCAGAAACGATCAGCAATAGGGAGAGATCTCTGGGAGCGAACCAACCAAGCAGGAACCAACTGTGCAACAAATATGCAGGAAGAAATGGAGGTGGATTGGTCATACTCTGAGAAAACCATCAAGTGACATCACACGACAGGCCATTGCTCGAGTGGAACCCGAAAGGGAAGTGGCGAGTTGGTTGTCAGTGCGAGGGTGAAATGGAGGAGGTGATGTGAAGAGGAGACGAAAGCATGTGGGCAGACGTGGAGTCAGATGAAAACATTGGCAGAGAACCGAACGCAATGAGAGACGTGCGGTTGAAGCCCTATGTTTCTCTAGGAACTAAAGGAAACAATAATAATAATGATAATCGACTTGTTAATCAGAAAGGTAGAGAAACGTCATTTAAGCAAAATAAATATAGGAATAATCACTGACTATTGAGGTAGGAAATATTTCCACAAGATTTGACTGAGCATGCGATGATACAGTACTGTAGATTTAGTGATGACGTTTTTAAGATGATCTCTTTGTTAATCATAATAATGTAAACAAAAATATTTTGAATGAAATGATGAATTCGGATAAAGAACAAGAGTGAAATATATTCATATGATAAGCAAAAGGTATAAGTATACATAGATATCATGGACAGTATGAATGTGAACGAGAATTGTCAGGAAGGGGAATATATATAGTGTACGTATACTTCACTGAAAGATACCATTACAAGTTCAGAGATGATTTTGTTGTTAAATCAACTTGCTGAAAAGGCACTTTATTATACACATATTTCACGGTTTCAGAGTCCTAACTTTCGAATACATTACTCACTGACTGATTTCAGCATAGAACTTAATCCACAGAAGTGCAGCAGTTCAACTTGCCACACTTCATGTACCACAAAAAGGACGACAAGAGACATAAGGAAAGAGATTCAAAAGAACGACAATATGAAGAAATGTGAGGGAAAAAGAATAGTAACATGGAAAAACCAAAGGAATTCACTGAATATGGGCGACCACAAGAAGTTAATGCACATCCGCCACTGACAACGATTTCCACTAATAGTCTCCAACCATCGGGTCCACTACCTCTTTTCCAACCTGATCCCATACCAGCTAACATTCTCCGTCGTGGAAGGCGATGGCTAGCAGTGTATGCGTAGCACATGTCCTAGACATCTCAATCCATGTAGCTTCACAACCTCATCGATTGATTTTCCCTCCTTAGCCTCCTAACACTCGACGCCTAACCTCCATATTACTCACCCTATTATACTTCGATTGGACTAAAACTAGCAAAAGAAACCATGGAACAACTACTCAACAACGACGAACACATACAACAATCAAAAATGCAGCATTCAAGTTGGATGGAATGCATAAACTTGTGTCTCACAACTTATTTCCAATTCAACGGTCAAATGTATGAACAAATTCAAGGGACACCTATGGGATCACCCATATCAGGATTGATTGCGGAAGCCGTCATGCAAAGACTGGAAAACATAATTCTGCCAAAGATCAAACCGAAAATTTGGATACGCTACATAGATGATACATTCGTGATAATCAAAAGAGAAAACTTAGACAATACCCACAACATAATAAACAACACCTTCAACGACATCAAATTCACAAGAGAGGAAGAATATGAAAACAAAATCCCATTCTCAGACGTCTTAATCAAACGAACAACTACAGGAAAATTAGAAACCCAAGTATACAGAAAACCAACGCACACGGATCAAATACTCAATTACAACAGTAACAACCCAACATCACACAAAATTAGCTGCATACGTACATTGTTCAAGAGAGCCAGGACTCATTGCAGCACTCCCGCCTTGAGGAAAATTGAAGAAAATCATCTTATGGACGTCTTCCAAAGAAATGGATACCCACGAAACTTCATCAAAAGACATCTACCCCCAGCTCAACCAACCAAATCAAAGGCCACCAGCGAAAACACAAAGAAAGTCGTCCTACCATATATAAAAGATATCTCCGAAATCACTGCAAGACTATTCAAACCTTTTGGAATCGATGTCGCTCATAAACCAACAAAGTCACTACACTCAGTTCTATGTAAGCCAAAGGACTCAACGGCAAAAGAAGACAAAACTAACGTCATCTACAAGATAAATTGCAACGACTGCGACGAACATTACATTGGTCAAAGTGGACGCCCTCTTCGTCTTCGCATTCACGAACACAAACTAGCTGTCAAAAGACACGACATACACTCCCTCATATCACTACATGCAGACAACCACGGGCACCAATTCGACTGGGAAAATGTTCAAATCTTAGACAAAGGGAACTGCAAAAATGTCAGAGAATTCCTAGAGGCCTGGTATTCAAATGAATCAGCAATCAATAGACACATAGAGATTGACAAAATATACCAATCCATACAAAGAAATTCACACAAAAACAAAGTCAAACTTCAGGTCAAGGAAACAGTCAACACCAAAACAAGTGAACTAGAAAGTGAGAAGTCACACAAAAACAACCAATCACGTTCAAGGTTAGCAGAAGGAATGACTAACGACATTCAGACCAAAGAAGCAGCCAGCACCGAGACAAGCAAACTAGGGGATGAAATGTCACACGAAAACAACCAATCACGTTCAAGGTTACTAGAAGAGATGACTAATAAACTCATAGAGAATTCTAAAAGCTCACTTCACATCGAAGTATGCGCTGAAGATGTTGCTCAGTAGAGCAATGAAAGCTTCGCAACCAAACCATCCAGCTCAGAGAACACAACCACACCAAAGTTTCAACTGTAAATTCCCAACAAATTTTTTTTCAATAATATGTACAGAAATAGTATATTCAAAACTTACAGTTAACAATCGATCCCCAACAAATATCCTTTTCGATTGACCAGCAGGCTTATCAGGTTGTATATGAGAAATGAAAGTTGCTTCAGAACCATCACCGCCAACAATATTCAAGCCAAGACTTCCAACACCAACACCACCAGATGAAAAACCACGTCGAAATGTATCATTTGGGTCGACTTTATCTCTATGGATAGAAGAAACTCTTTTACGACCACTACGGTAGAGAGTGACTAATCGAGCATCTGGCCATTCACTAAGCAGGTTGGATACTGAAGCAGCCGCCGCGTAATCAACTATAATAATTGAATACAAATATATATATTGTCAAGAAACAGTGAAAATATCATGTAAGCATCATACATTAAAACGCCTTATTGCTCAAAACACAATTCCCTTTAAAGTAGATAATCGCGAAATGTTTTAATATCAAAAATAAATTAAAATATCTCAAAATACAATGTTTAGGCATTGAACGTAATAAAACTTTAGTTTTAGTAGATACTCCACCCTGTTGTTATTTAGATTCTAAAACTGTCATCCTATCCCATCTATCCTATTGTATGGTTGTGTGTAATTGCATGTAGTGAGTGCCATAACTGAACTATTCTCTAGATTTCTAATCTTATTTGGGTCAACCAATCTAGATTTTGCTAGGTTCTTATACTCCGCTAGTCTCACTGCCGCTGTTCTACTAGTTTGACCTACGTATTTGACCTGACAATCATTGCAGGCGGGTTATTAGATCAACTAAATTGTTTTCAACCTCGCCTAGATTACTAGGTCACTAGTATTCTAGCCGGTCCCAAGCCCGGATAAAGAGGGAGGGTTGGGGCGTGGTGCTGGCAACTCCACCCCCAAAACTTAACCAAATTGCTACTAAAACTTCAACGCACAAATATATTCAAAATTCTAAAATTACAAATAGTGACCTTATTTTTCGCTGGAATCGGGGAAGTGAAATGACGCAGGCTGGTGAAAGCCTTCAGGAAGCCAGTCAGCCGATGTGCCTTCTTTCGATGAAAGCGAAAATAAGGATGGGCACGTGGAATGTTCGTACAATGTACGAAGCTGGGAAGGCTGCTCAGGTAGCCGCAGAAATGAGAAGATATAAAATAGAAGTGTTGGGAATCTGCGAGAGCAGATGGAACGGATGTGGAAGGAGCCAACTATCAACTGGAGAGACAATAATCTACTCCGGTCATCCAGAGGACAATCACGAGCACACCGAGGGAGTAGCCATCATGATGTCACCAACAGCGGCTAAAGCTCTCATGCAGTGGGAACCAATCTCCTCCAGGATAATGACAGCCAGGTTCAACTCAAAAGGAAAAAAGGTTACAATCAATCAGTGCTACGCGCCTACAAACGCCTCAGAACATGAGAAGAAGGAGGATTTCTACAGTCAACTACAAACAGTAATGGACAACGTCCCAAAGAGCGATATCAAAACCCTGATGGGCGACATGAATGCGAAACTGAGAGGAGACAATACAGGAAGAGAACTCACCATGGGTCGTGAGGCCCTCGGTGAAATGAACGAAAATGGCGAACTCTTCTCAGACTTCTGCGCCTTCAATGATTTGGTGATTGGTGGCAGTGTGTTAAAACACAGGGATATACACAAGGCAACATGGATTTCACCAGATGGACACACCAAAAACCAGATAGACTTCATTTCAATCTCAAGGAAGTGGAGACGGAGCCTACTGGACACAAGATCGAGGAGAGGAGCAGATGTGGGTTCAGACCACTATCTAGTACAAGGGACTTTCAAGGTGAAGCTGAAAGCCTCGAGGATACCTGGGGATAGGCCACAATGCAAGTTCAACACGCAAAAACTGAAGGACACAATCACACAGGACATTTTCACTGCAACGGTCAGAGCAAAGCAGGAAACACTACTACGTGACACCACTGAGGAATCATCCGTGGAAGACCATTGGAACTCTCTGAAGGTAATTTTCAACGAAACGTGCTCAACGGTTTTAGGAAGAAAGAAGAAACAAGACAAGGAATGGCTCTCAACGGACACTTGGAAGCTAATAGAGGAAAGGAGAAAGGTGAAAGAAAAAATGATTCAATGCAAAGATGGACAAGAGAAAGAGACGCTGAGCTCAACTTACACAGCACTGGACAAAGAAGTGAAGAAGAGTGCCAGGAGGGACAAAAGACAATTCTACGACAACCTGGCTACTGAAGCTGAGAAGGCAGCAGGCAAAAGGGACCTGAGGACGCTATATCAGATAACCAAGTCTCTATCCGGGAAGAGATCAACACAAGTGAAACCTATAAAAGACAGCCAAGGGAACCCGATTACCAAAGAAGAAAGACAGATTAAACAATGGGTGGACCACTTCAAAGGACTCTTGAATCGACCACCACCTACAACCCATCCAGTAATACCAACAACAGCACGTACACAACTGCAAGTTGACACCAATCCTCCAACGGAAACTTAAGTCATGAATGCAATCAAGCTTCTGAAAGCTGGAAAAGCAGCTGGACCAGACGGAATACCCCCGGAAGCACTGAAAGCGGACCCAGAAACGACGGCAGATATGCTGACTCCATTATTGCAAAAGATCTGGAAAGAGGGAAAGGTGCCTACTGACTGGAGGAAAGGCTACCTGGTGAAACTACCAAAGAAGGGCGATCTGGGACTCTGCAAGAACTGGCGAGGAATCATGATCCTGTCGACGCCAAGTAAAATCCTGAGTCGCATCATCCTGGAGAGAATCAAGGACGCACTGGATACAGAACTCCGACCAGAACAAGCTGGATTCAGGAAAGGCAAATCATGTTCTGACCAAATTGCAACTCTACGCATTATCATCGAACAAAGCATGGAATGGCAATCAAATCTCTACCTCAACTTCATAGACTTTGAGAAGGCCTTCGACAGCGTTGACCGCGAAGTAATTTGGAAACTACTCAAGTGCTACGGCGTACCCCAAATATTCATCAGACTTATTCAACAGCTGTACGACAACGGCACATGTCAAGTGATCCACAACGGAAAACTCAGAGAGGCGTTTGGAGTAAACACAGGAGTCAGACAAGGGTGCTTATTATCACCAATGATATTCCTAATTGTGGTGGACTGGATTATGCGTCAGACAGTGGGAAACGAGAAGACAGGGATATCCTGGACCGACGTGAAGAACCTAGAAGACCTGAATTTTGCGGATGATTTATGTTTGATGTCACACAAAATCGAAGACTTACAAGCAAAAACCGACAAACTGGTCGAAGAAGCAGCAAAGACAGGACTCCAGGTGAACATAGACAAGACGGAGGTCATGAAAATAACCAACCAACAACAACAAAAACAGCAGCAACATCCAGTGCCAATCACCATCAACGGGAGGGATTTGAAAGAGGTTACTTCTTTCACTTATCTAGGGAGCATTGTCTCAACCACAGGAGGAACGGACGAGGATGTCAAATCAAGAATCGGGAAGGCGAGAAACACATTCATCAACCTGAAACCAATCTGGAAATCTTCCTCACTCAGCATCAACAACAAAATTCGGATTTTCAATACAAACGTCAAGTCAATTTTGCTTTACGGATCAGAAACTTGGCGGGTCACAAAGAATATTTCCAACAGCCTGTTGCAGACCTTTATCAACAACTGTCTCCGCTCTATACTGAAGATTAGATGGCCGGAAAGAATCACAAACAAGAAGCTATGGGAACAAACGAAACAGGAACCAATCGCCCAACAAATATGCAGGAGGAAGTGGAGATGGATTGGACACTCGCTGAGGAGGCCGTTGAGTGACATCGCGCGTCAAGCCCTCGAGTGGAACCCGAAAGGGAAGCGGCGAGTGGGACGTCGGTGCAAGGGTGACATGGAGGAGATCGTGTGAAGAGGAGCTGAAACAGTATGGACTAACATGGATGCAGGTGAAAAGTACAGCAGAAGACAGAAGCAAGTGGAGACGTGTAGTTGAAGCCCTATGTTCCACTAGGAACCCAAGGGAACAATAATAATAATATAATAAAATTGTTTTGTTTAATTGGCTCCACAGGACTGATCCTTTAACCAACAGAGGCTTCTGTTGTCAACAATACCAACAATAAGGAATCTAAGTCTTCAGTAGTAATTCCATCCATACAAAGAAGGAACCTCGGAGACCTTACGCAGAATTCCTAACATTCAAACCACCCACAAACTCAATTAGAAACAAGTCTTGTCGGTTAAAGGATTCCATGGAGCCGATTAAACAAAACAATTTAGTTGATCTAATAACCCGCCTGCAATGATTGTCAGGTCAAATACGTAGGTCAAACTAGTAGAACAGCGGCAGTGAGACTAGCGGAGTATAAGAACCTAGCAAAATCTAGATTGGTTGACCCAAATAAGATTAGAAATCTAGAGAATAGTTCAGTTATGGCACTCACTACATGCAATTACACACAACCATACAATAGGATAGATGGGATAGGATGACAGTTTTAAAATCTCATGTCGCAGCTGGGTGGAGGGAGAGATTGATAACAGAAGCTTTGTTTATCGAATCAACTGCAAATACGTATAATAGAAATAATTCACCACCTCTCCAGCCGGACATCTCGGAAATTCTACTAACCCTACGACGGGAAATAAGAAAGAATAAATAAAACTATAAAAGTCAAGTTTCGAAGTCGTGTGATTATAATTGATGAGATGATTTTAAACAATAAATTGTGTTCGAAACTTTGTCATCCAGTAAATAATACTGTTTCACTGACTGTGTGATATATCTAATAAACTAATATGAAATTACCTACTAGTCACGATTTACCACTAGAAAGAGATCCATGCTAGTCACTACCGAGCATAAGATTAATTTTTAACAGTTTGTACTGGTGAAATTATGGCCTTACAGGCCAATAGGATGAATAGTTTTAGATTGCTTATTTAGGATTTTGATGACAAAAGAAGCATGCATTTCATTAAGACTGAAGATACCCTCTTACTGAAAAGTTTTAACTGGTGTGATGTTCCTTCTTTCCTGTAGTTGTTTCAAACAATATAATTCAGTGCAAGTGGTTTTGTTACTTACAGTAACTATGAAGCCGCCTTGAGCCTAAATATTTACTTTATTATTAAATTGAAATGTATGCAATCAAGAAATAACTCTTGGATGTTGTAAACATTCACCCAGATTGAAGATCAGATTGACAGAGAGGCTTAACACCAAAGAACTCTGGGAAAGAACCGAACAAAAATGTATTGCCCAATAAATATTTAGAACGAAATGCAGCTGGATCAGAACCATGCAGAGGAGACCGTTGGGTGACACATCACACATCAATTCCTCGAGTGGAATCCATATGAGAAACGACGAGCTAGGCGTCTAATGGCCGCACGAAGGAGAACAGAATGAACGTGAAGATGTTCTGTTGAAACTCTATGCCCCACTCGAGACTTAATGAGATGATGACAATAATAATATTAAATGCAGTTTTAGGAATATACAAAATTCCCACGGCTTCCATATTAGTTCATACAGAACTCTATCCAATTCAATTGCAATAAAATAATAAATAATAATTTATTTCAAACAATTATCCAAGATAGAAATAACTACTCAATTTATTGTAATGAAAAAATCAAAACCAAACACACCAGAGCTACTTGCTAGGCGTTATTGGGCTAGAGGAACAAATACATGAAAGTCACGTACAGATAGACAGACGCGAAAGCTGTTAATGACTGTATGGTAAAAAAATAATGGCCAATTAGCCATGACTAACCCCCTCTTAAACGTTTTTCACAACTAATCATTTTCTATTTCAAACTTATAGCATATTGCTTCAAGGTTACACTGCTGAAGAGTAAAACTCCAATAAAACTGAAACAGTGGAAAATGGAATTCAGCAAGTCACTCGACACTGTCCACTAAAAATTGCTTTTGGGCTTTCAGGACACCTCATCTAACTTCGATATACACTACATGAAGTATATTTGATATAATTATTTCTCAGTCTTTTTTAAAATAACTTTACTGACTAATATATGCATAAAGAAAATGCTACATAGTACAGTGTTCATACTTCTCCCATGAAATCTAGGAATAACCAAATTGCATGGAGGATTTCATCATGAGCTGACATTGGTTAGAGAACCACTGAAAAACCTGCAAGAAGTACTGGATAGCTGTTTTGTCCTGGTTCGAGACTTTTCATCAGTTCGCACCTACCACAGGGGTTCAAACGCGGGACCGTCTGGTTACAAGGTGAGCTCGTAGACTATTAAGTGACTGGGACCCTATCCAATGGCCAGTCTATGAATTATAACTTCTGCCAATTCATGACATAGAGCGACCAATTCGCAATGTCTTCTGTGATGAGTTACTGCCTCATCTTCAACCTGCTGTACCCTACTTATCACGGCTTCCCACTAGAATTCCAGGTTAACTGCCTGACTAGAGCCAGTCGCTAGTGAGCATCAGATTAATTTTCAAGTATTGGTTTTGTAGGAATTTTGTTTGATTGCATGGATTGGATTTTCACAAAACATTTGAGGTATGTTCCGCGCCAGGAGTTCAACCCAGGCTATCTGGATAAAAGCCAGGAATTCAAACCGCTAGACCAGGTGAGACTTGTAACCCAGAAGTACAGGACAGGTGTCCCGTCCTTGTGCTTGGGACCTATCGGCAGTAGATACCCACCGGCGGGGTTCAAACACAGGTCTTTTCGGTCACAAGGCAAACTCATCGATCATTCAGACACTGAGATACTGGTGCGCCCTGTGATCCGGAGTTTGATCTCAGGCCGACACTCTCTTTTACCTCGCTTAAACAGTTGCACGTGAAGCTAGTAACCCAACCCATAACAAAATATCACTGCTATTGAAAATTCAAAGTTGACGCTTGAAGTTTGCCTTATGTTCCACTAGGAATGCAACGAAATTCAATCGAATCGAAAAATCGATATGAGGTACACATAATTACAATGGTGCAGAAGTATCCTCAAACAACAACAAAAAAAACTCAACGAATTGCATTTAAAAAAAATACCTACTGACATTAATAATTACTCACTTATTCCAACCATTCTATTTTCAAGCAATTCTTGGCCAGTTGATGCAAAACATGGAATATTTGTTCCTGTCGACCCATAGAACACCGGTTTATGAAATCTATCATTTGACAAGTCTGGAGAAGATCGATAATTTTCATTATTTGCCATGGATGAGGTATAAGAGTTCTTTTTTGCAGTTTTCGAAACATCATTAGAATGAAGTTGACTTTGATGATTATAATTTAGGCTGTGGCGATGTTTTGACTGTAAGGATTTTGAAGTGCCTGTTGCCTGTTGTTGTAAATTCTCTTCTTCTTGTTGTTGTTCTCTTAAATCACCACTGCGGACAATTTGACCAGAAGATGATTTTCTACTAGGGGCAGTATGTACAGATGTTTCTAAGGCTGGAGATGCTGAATGCGAGGAAGGCGTAGGTGATAGGGAAGGCGATCGATGAAATGATGATAAAGACGCAGGTGTAGATGACTTGACACAATATTCATCAGCAATAGCATTACGATGAAAGTCACCACTGCCGTTAAAATCAGGGTTAGGAGGAAGAACACTGTGATTATTCAAATCATTCGATGGAATTTTAGTTTCTGTAGACAACAAGAATTAAAAAAGAAGGAATAATCAAATTAGGGTTTAGAGATATAAGCTCATGGTTAAATCCTCCAATCAATCAAACAAAATCCCTACAAAACGAATGCTCGAAAACTGATCTGATGGTCACTAGCAACTGGCCCTATTCAACCCAGGAAGTTATATGGGGTTCTAGTGAGAAGTCATGACCAGTAGGGTACAAAAGGTTGAAGGTGAGACAGTTACTCATCGAAAAGGACATTACGAAGTGGTCACGCTATGTCGTGAATTGGCAGAAGTTAGAATTCATGGATTGGCCATTGGATTGGGTCCCAGGGGCCTTATGGTCTACGAACTAGCTCACCTGGTAACCAGAAGGTACTGGGTTTCAACCCTGGTAGTGGGTGCACACTGATGAAGAGTCCCAAAGTAAGCTGACGAAACAGCTATCCAGTACTCCTTGCAGGTCTCCCAATTGTTCTCTGACTGATGTCAATTCATGATGAAATCCTCCAACCAATCAAAGAAAAAATCCCTACAAAACCAATACTTGAAAATACAGTTTTTATAGACATCATATTCTTAAAATGATTTTGTCTGTTTGCCATGAGAAGCGATAGTGTCAAAATTTACAGTATTCCTAGAATACAGTCTTTTATGTCAATATATTTTTGAAGTAAAATAAATTACATAGATTCTGCTTGTGAGAGCGCGCAGATTATTTCAGACATTCTCTGTGCGTCTTCAACCAAAGTTCACCGTTACTTGATTGATTGCGTTAGTTTTATCCGCGTGTCTGTGTAAAGATTATGAGTGGAACAGAACTACATATACGTAGACTTCATTTTCACATTCTAATCTCCTAGCCAAAAGTTTAGTGCATTAAGCAGTAGTGTTTCTTGACCTGCATAAATTTGCGACCTGCACCAACCCACAATTAACGAGGACAGTTTTTATTTCATGATACTGAGGTTATAAAGTGCTTCACGCATGAACTGAACTAGCGATGTATGATTAAGGGTAGGATTGTTGGTAATGAAAACTTCTAGACAGAAATGACTAAGAATAAAGGGAAGGTTATTATTATTATTTCCTTTAATTCCCAGAGGAACATAGGGCTTCAGCTGCACGTCTCCGTTGCGTTCGGTTCTCTGCTAAATTTTTCACGTGGCTTCAAGTCTGCCCACATGCTTTCATCTCTTCACATCACCTCATCCGTGTCACTCTCACACTAACGACCAACTAGCCACTACCCGTTCGGGTTCCACTCGAGCGATGGCTTGTCTAGTGATGTCACTTGACGGTTTCCTCAGAGTATGGTCAATCCACCTCCATTTCTTCCTGCATATTTGTTGCACAATTGGTTTCTGCTGGGTTTATTCGTTCCTTACCAGAGATCTCTCCCTACTGCTGATCGTTTTTGGCCGCCCATCTGATCTTGAGCAGTATTGAGCGAAGACAGGTATTGATGAAGGTCTGTAGTTTGTTTGAAGTGCCCTTCGTGACGCGGCACCAAATCTCTCATCCATATATTAGCACTGACTTCACATTGTAATTGAAAATCCGCATCTTATTTTTCATTCTGAGTGCTGTTGACCTCCACACAGACTTGAGAGTAATGAAAGCTTGTCTCGCTTTACCGATCCTTGCTTTGATATCCTCGTCAGTTCCGCCGCCTGTAGTTGAAACGATGCTTCCCAGGTAGTTAGAGGAGGTTGTTTCTTTCAGGTTCTTCCCATTTATGCTGAATGTTGTCTGTTGTTGTTGTCGCTGTTGGTTGACTCATCGTTTATTTGAAATGTCCAAAAACCTCCACCATCAACTTATTGGAAATAAATTCTCTTGTTCATTTTGTTTTACCCTAATAAAATAAAACCCTTAACTAATGTTAGGGCAGAAGACAAAAGACTTGGTAAAGGAATGTTTATTTGTAATTTGTTATCTCTCTGTAGCCAAATTAGGTCCACCTCACGTTCAAATCACCATTTGTACAGATCTTCCGTATTGTGCTACTTCTCGCCTTCCTTCAAATGTATTTCTTTGTCACCCTTTTCACGTTTCCTATGTTTCTCTGCAAGGCTGCTTTATTTGCTTCCTCTGACGTCAAATCTATCTGCCTGCAATTTGACGTTTTTATGCCTATGAACCTCGCTTTATATACTACTGATAAATCTTATCAGTTATGTTCCGAACATCACCCTGCATAGTGGTGGTTAAGAAAAATGACAAACAAAATCTGTTCATAGCGCTACTCTATCCTGTCTTGTGGATAGAGAACACAAGATTGATATCAACTTTGAGGCTTTCAAAGTTATTTACCACACACCAACTAATGCTAACTTCGCCTTAAGAGATCGTTTAGTTAGTACTGATGAGGCTGGCTGTTGGGATCCACATTAAGAAGACTAATTTATGTGTCCAAAAGTAGCTAGTTCAAACATTGTCCCTACTTTGGCCATACAGGTTCGAATGATCCTGAATTTTTGTGGAATTTTCCTAATTTTATTTGATATTCTATTTGCTATTACATTTTTATTATTATTATAATTTAAGCATCCTTAATGAACTGTAATTCCATTGTTATCTTACTTAACAAATTGATATTATTTAAAAAACACTAATATTGTTATTGACTACTATTCTAGAATATTCTATGCATATAAACACAGTGTATAAATGTAGAGCGAGAAGAGGAAATTACCGAAAAGGATAGATGACTGAATGAATATTTTACCTTTATTGTATTTTATTGATGATATTAATATTATTATTTCCGAATGTACTTTATCTTACATTGATTTTGTTCAAATGTCTAATCATCAAATTTTACTCATGTATATAAATGAAGCAAGAAAGTTGTGTGAGTGAGTGCCCTGAGATGATTATGAGTACCAAAGATAAATTGTGCTCGAAACGTCGTCATCAGTGAATATTACTGTATAATTCTGTGTGATTTCATCAAAATAAAAATTTTATCCATAATAGGATTATACTTTCATATTAGTCAAGGAATAATTGTTTTGTAGTAATTCAGTGAATGGGAACCAGCACTTCGTCCTGTCTGAGACTCGTCACTGAATGTACCTGCATTCCCCAATCAGTGAGTGAATGACAGTGTTCCCACTGAGACTCGAACTAACAGTCCGTCGTTTCAAACTCCAAAGCACTACCCACTAGACTACTTGGGCCACGAGAGCCACCTTTTGTGCGACAGGAATCTGTTATTATTTATTTTCAAAGTCAATATTGATTTTCCCGTTGGTTGATTGGATAAGAGATATTCGACATCTGTTGACATGCCGGACGTTTCGACGATGTCTGAGGCTTAACTTGAAGTAGTTCGGTCGATGGTGACAACCAGGGGAGTTGGAGACGATGGGTACTGGGTTCAAGCCTCAGTTGAAACGCCATCAACCACTCGCTGGGGAATGAAGGTGCATCCGGATGACGAGTCCCAAATAGGACAAAATGTGCATCTTGAATTCAACTACTAGTCACCATCCACCAAATATTACTTCGAGTTAATCCTGAGACATAGCTGAAGCATCCGCGCACAAGTAGCCGACATGTCAACAGAGGCCGAACATCTCAGGTCAGTCAGTCAACGGGAAAACCAATATTGAATGAAAAAGCAAAAAATTGATGTTAACAACACTGATTGTTTTATAACACCAAACGATTATCTCCGCATTTAATTTGTCCCTGATAATTTGAATTACATTTCTCTATCGGCCTTCCCAAAAATGTCTACTCCCTGTGTAGAGATAAAGTGTGGCGACAAGTTGAACTAATGAACACTAACCACACTAACACGTTGTTAATCAAAAGCCAATTAATTTCCTCTCTTTGACATTAAAAAATGAACTGCAAATAGCCAGAACAAAATCCAAAATAATACCGCCTACATATTAGTCATTAAAAGTAAGCATATGTAAGTGTGACTCGTTAGGCTGAGCACTAAACTAAACATCTGATGAATACATTTCATGTTCGAGTTATTTTATTTCCTTGACAATTGCTCAGTTGAATTACTAACCCCATTTTTTGCTGAACAAAGAAGAAGAAGTTGAAATTACTTCCTTATTTCAAACTCATTCAAATGTCTTCAAATAATAATAATAACAACAATAACATAAATAAACATTTACTATCCATTGGGTGTCTAATTTCTCTGAAACTAATGAACCTTACATCCATTATTATCGAATGAGGACTTTTTCCTACTATAAGAAAAACAAAGTCCTGAGAAAATTCTTTTTTTCCTCTAAAGGTAGTAATAATAAATGAGGAGCTTTTAACCAATTCTTTTCACTTATTCTGTAGAGTTGAAATCTACTCAAAAGAGAGGCATTCAAATAGTAAAGAGGAGTAATCAGCGCATATATCACCTGAGCAAGTGTTATAGATTCTTTCTTCAATTGTTGGCCTACTTAGTTAAAAACATTGAGAATGCTCATAAATTAACCATACAGTACAACTGATGAGTACGTTACAGCTGATTAGCTAATGCATTCCATCTATATAAGAATAATTACAGCAGTTAATCCATTAACACAAATTATAAAAGAAAGAAAAGAGGATATATATTTTGAGGATTGTAATGCATTAGTGTATTAAAGATTGAACAATATTCATTATAACAGTACATAGTAGGAAAGTCAGTCTAATTCACACTCAATACCTTTTTATAGCTTAAATATCTTAATTAATATAGGGATTGTAAGCTTTTTTTAAACATAACAGCAGATACTACTTTTTAAATTCTTCATGAGTATTATAGAAGATGGGGTTAAAAATAACTCATTTCTATCCTAAAAGGGTAGTTTTTTTTCGTGTTTTAGAGAATAAAAGCTTTCAAACTTTCAGTAATTAGGATTGCTAAATATATTCTTGTTTTCTCGGCTGAGAATATGAACTAACTAGCTAACTCTGGTGACATAATACGTAGCTCTTTAACCAAACCAAGATAAACTGAATTCAGCTTAAGAGAGCAAAATGCCTTTCTAGAAGCAATTTTGAAGTTGTCATTGTGTAATACAAGTTCATACATATCAGGTAATCAGTACTTCCTCAAGATTGCAGATATCTCTCTCTTTAAAATGGCCCCCAACATACATATCAGCAAAAAGAGCCATTTAACTAGTACACTTTATGATCAGACTTTGATCACAATTCAGATATTCCCAAGTTACAATGAGCAGTAATAAACTGCATTGTAACCTATTTATTAATCGCGCTTAAACGATTAACTAATAAACAAAGAATATTCTTCTTGATAACTTCCTCTTCATCAGTTTCTACATCTATTTAGCCATAATAATTACAGAAATATTCTTGTTAACAACATTAGTGCTATTTCAAATTACAATGAATCAATAGTATGGATAGAATGATTACATTTCAGAAACATCAATAAGACGGAGATAATATGCATCAGATATATACCACTAAACCGATTGAATATCAGATAAATTAAGAGAAGTAACAGAGGAATTATGAATTTATTGGCTTGACAGAAGACCAGAGTAGCAATAGAGGCTGGTTGGAGCTGTTTCTTTCGCTCGCACAGCTCCGGTTGGTTTACACGAAATTCAACAGCCTCTGCTATTTGGAGTGTTTTTGGTATCTACAGGCCTTTGGAAACAAATTTGATACTCCGCGGGTAATAGGGAGAGATCCTTCAATGCTAGCTTTGTGAGTGTGTGGACGAGGTGATCTTATATGGAACTACAGACGCTTTTAACAACACTTTTATTTGACCACACTAGCAGATATCCCTGAGAAAAAAAACACCAGGTTCCTAGAGAAACGATAAATATAACTGGCTGCACGGGAGCAGATGAATTGATAAATACAATTAGCGATGGTTCGCTAGCCTAGATGTTTCGTCTTTCACTTTCGAAATCACAACCAGCTGTAGGGGATATTTTTTGATTGTACACTAGTCAGTAACTAGTGTAATGCGTCTAGTCCTATCTTCGGTGCAGACTGAATTCTATCAGTCATGTTTGCAATGTGGCCACCATGCTAGGTGGCTCGCCATTACGGTGCACTGTGAATTGTTGATATTAGATGGTTGGAGGCAATCGGCAAGAAGCCTTGGACCTAGGTTTCGTGCTAGTTGGCACTCATCAGCAAGGCGTATCTGCAACCTTGAAGGAACTGATGTCCCCTCTGAGATTCGAACCCGCGTCACCCAGTGCTGCAGTCAGAGACGTTACCACTGATCTATTCAGGCTCGCGACTGACCTCCTGTAGGACTGTACTGGATATTTTTTGATTGTACACTAGTCCCTTCAGAAGGGACATCAGTTCCTTCAAGGTTGCAGATACGCCTTGCTGATGAGTGCCAACTAGCACGAAACCTAGGTCCAAGGCTTCCTGCCGATTGCCTCCAACCATCTAATATCAACAATCAACAGCTGTAGGGGAAATATAAGCTGCAGCCTACCGGGAGCATTAAACTTCCTTTGAATCGATTCCCTCAACTTGTTGGTTATTATTTCACACTTGCTATATCACTAAGTTGAATTGTAGTCGTGTGTGTGTCAGTTGTCATTGAGGTGCTATTCAGAGTTGGAAATATTGTTTTTAATTCCTATTCATCATTGGTAACTTTTTCGAATACTACACGGGGAAAGTGTGCTCGTGGTTGAATTGAGTCTAAATTTGCCTTCCTGAATAGATATTTTTCATTTTTATTTATACATTAACTACGATGGCTAGAATAACAGAAATGTATCACCTCAAAATATCTTTAACATGGAAGTTTGGAACCACGGAGAAATACAGCATGGAATTCTCAGCAAATTGTACCTAATTTACTCAAAATATAAATAGGATTAACCGCAGAAACGTTTTCATATTTACACTAGGAATAATGTCAAAAATGTGTGAGGTATAAAATGAAAATGATAATAACAGTGGGTTTGTTTTGAACAGTATTGTCAATGCAGTATAGACGCTGATAAAATCCAGAGTCTTCTGAATACCTTTAGCTGCACCTTCGAACGTTTGGCATGCGATTTGTTCCCAACAAGTGTAAAATGATGCTACAGGACTGGACTACATTGACTCCTAGCTAGTTTAAAGACAAGGAGTCAGTGAAGTGGTTTGTGGAGCGTGTTGACCACTTCACTTATTTGGGTAGTTGCAGCAGCCAATGCCAGCAGGTTGATCCCTGACGAAATCTCTGCATGCATACAGAAGGCTCGTCTCGCAAATGCCAACTTTCTCCATCTCTGGCTTAGTAGACGTGATATCCGGTCGGCTGTCGACCCAAGGGTGTGTGTGCTGCTCAGCAGTCCACTGTGTTCTCATTTATGGCTGTCAGTGAAATATGGCTATTGGAAGTGGAAGATATGAAAAGGTCAACCGATTTTGATCATTGGTGTGTTAGTTGTATCTCCCGTGTTAGGTGTTATAATAGGGTAAGTAATATTGAGGTTAGGCTTTGATCGAGTGTTAGGTAAGGAAGGGAAATCAATCGATGAGGTCCTGCAACTACATCGATTGAGATGGTTAGGACATGCGCTACGTATGCCTAGCTATCACCTTTCTTGACTAGCGATGTTAACTAACAACATATGATCAGGTTGGAAAAGAGTTAGCTAGTGGTGGTCAAATCAAAACATGGCTTCACCAGTCAGCGAAATCCATAACAGTTAGTTTAAGCCAGTCAAGTAGGGAGATGTAGACTTCCTGGTTGGTAGAAACCAATGAAGGCTGGAGCCAATTCGTAATATGTCTCAAAATCCTCGTTCTCAATGCCTGGAGCAGATGCATTCCCTCTTTATGATTTATCATATCCAATTCGGTTCTATTGTTCTTCCATGTGTCTATTCTTTTTGCCTCATATTTCTCTTTATTATCTCTGTTTTGAATCTCTTCTACTCTCTTCTCTTCCTTTGTTTGCTACAAGGAGGGAGTGTGGCGACTCGAACCGCTGCACATCGGTGCAAAGTTCTACATTGAAACCAGTCAGTCAGTCAGATGCAGTATGGAAATTTTAGTGTGTTATAGAATATCGAATCTAATGTTCTCTTGACAAACCATGGTAAGGGAATACATGCCAAATATTGTATCGTAGAATTTCTGTACTAAGACGTCCTCGCAAAAAGTCTTTTGAAATGACTTCTTGTTTTACCAGAGGTGGAGATGCAAGGTGAAAGCTGCAGGTAAAGTGGATGCTCCAAGTCAGACGAAATCCCTCTAGCAAATTTATTGCATGGGATTAAGTGCCTGTCAATAACGATGTGAACTATGTAGTCCAATGGGACATACCACTCATCCTACTGACCGTCTTCAGCATTCTACAAATTGTGACATAGTCCTTTTTAAGCAATTCAGGAAAGAATATGAGTGAACAATAAAGAAGGGCAGGTAAGATGCAAGAGTTGACAAACTGTAAGAGGAGGGATTGCGATATGCCTGATTGACTTAACTTCTTAGTGTAAATTGGGACGGAATATTTTACTAGAAATCGCTAAGACGTCGGAAGACCAGGATAGATCAGAAGAAAGAATTAATCCAAGATACTTCACGTCCGACTTCAATTCCATATAGATATCGATAATTTGGATTGTAAACGGTCGTGCGTTTATCACCTCAAACTTGTAGTTTCGAATATGAACAAAGCATCGTTCTTTTTGCACAAAATTTACTACCTGTTTAAAACTTTGGTCACCAAAATACTGCATCATTATATTGCATATAATTCCTCCGGTTCACTTTGTTTTAATCTGTTAAAATGTTATTATTTACTCTCGCGAATATTTAAAATGTCTACGATCTGCCGATTCACAAGTTTCTGCTAAACTTCAGAAAAAGCAAAATCATGAATGGCAACGTATTCCAGCATATGAGATAACTCTCCTTGAGATTTGCAGTAGAAACTGCTACTCACTCACTGCCTGAGAAATAAAAAACGAATTAGCTGTAGTCTTCAGTTATTCAGCTGTTTTTATTATTATGTCATTGGGTGAAAAAATGTACTGCTACACCTTTTTCAATTGATTTGCGGCTAAATGTTTTGGATTTCTCAAAGGAGGGGAACACAGAAGAAGAAATATCATATAAGGGATTGATTAGTTTGCGCTTCAGGTCAGGCTGTTGTGTGTCACGGGATTTACTGTCAGTTACCATTTAAATTGATGATTTTGGGCAAAGAGGAACTATTATGCAATAATATCTGGTGAATAATCTGTACATCAGAATTTAATTGGTGGATGGTGACTAGCAGTGGAATCCAGTAGATGCGCATTTCGTCCTATTTGGGACTCGTGTCAACTGGATGTACCTGCATTCCCCACTCAGTGAGTGATGATGTTCCCACTGAGGCTCAAACCCAGTGCCCATAGTTTCAAACGCCAAAGCGTTATCCACTAGACCACTTGGGCCACGAGAGCCACCTCTTGTGCAACGGGTCATATTAATTTTAATTGAATTTTAGATTTTCCCGTCGATTGATTGGATCGAAGTGCCCGGTCTCAAATTGACATGTCGGCTTCTTGTGCAGATGCTTCGACGATGTCTGGGCATTTAATTGGTGGATGGTGACTGGCAGTGGCATCCAGGATGAGCATTTCGTCTGAGACCGGGCACTTCGGTCCAAGCAATCGACGGGAAAATCTAAAATTCAATTAAAATCTGTACATCAGATAAAGACTGTTCAGAAGAGAGCTATTATCATCGTTATTATCGCTAAGTTTAGACTCCATGAATCACTACTATTGCTACTGCTACTACTAATGTATATTTACGTCACAACCTTTCACTGCTTAGCTGTTGCAAATGTTCCACCCAATTTCAGGTAATAGAGAAAAATCGATTTTCTTGTCTCTACTGAATTCACCTTTGTATTTTATTAAAAACCGGAAATCACATTTTTTGTTTGTTTGACTGCATAAAACAAGATTGGAAAAATATATATTCCTATTCACATAAGTATGACCTGAGGTCAAAACCTAGGAAATACGATTTACAGAATTAAAAAAGGATAGCTTAATAAACCTAGGCGTTTAACTGAAGCAAAACAAGTGTAAGACAGAT